TTTATTATATCTTCGCTTTCCAAATTTTTCATAATATTCGCCAGCGGCGCTGATATGGTAGAAATTTGGCGTCTGGCTTTTCAAAATCTTCAAAATTTTTGCCTGGGGCCAAAAAATGGAAGAAAACTGACTTAACAACATCAGAATTTTTCAAAATTTTCGCCTGCGGCGCAAAAAAATGGAAGAAATCTGACTTAAGGACCTCAAAATTATTAAAATTTTCGCCTGCGGCGCAAAAAAATGGAAGAAATCTGACTTAAGGACCTCAAAATTATTAAAATTTTCGCCTGCGGCGCTGAAAAAGGAAGATCCTTATTATCCTTTTAAATCCCCAATTTCCCTTCAAATCCTTCAATCCTCTAATTTACATTATCTATATCCACCTTAATCACTTGATATCTCTTCGAATCCCCTCAATCATTTTAAATCCCCTTAAATCATCTTAATTCTTAGATATACGATCCTGATTTCCTTAATCCACTGAACCCCTTTAATAACTCCTAATCTAACGATATCCAACTCAATCCTATATATATATTCAAATCCTCCAAATTTCCAAAACCACTGATATCATTCTTAATCACCAGGAGTGATATCGGGTCGGGTCTCTCTCTATCTCTTTAGCCTGTCCTTTATCCTCTAAATCCATCGATATGATGAATTTATTGTTGAATTATAATTTTTATATTAATACATAAAGAGGGATGAGCAAAATTATGAATTTTCATCGATTTTTGTGAATTATTAATTGGTTTTAAAAAATTGTAAAAATAAACGGTAAACGGGCGTTTAAACGGGTCTTTAAAAATAAACGAAACGGTATGCGGGTCTCAGATAAACGGCATAAACGGTATATGGTTTTTTCAAAATTAAACGGTTCTGTCCCACCCTATTTATTATTATAAATTTAAGATCTTTTTTAGAAATTTAAATCCTAGAATTTTTTATGACATAGAGTAGTTAAATTAATATGTATAAAATTTTGATAAATCAACATATTTATTTTTGCAGATATTGGTATAATTTGTGATATATATTTGGATGGAAAACTTATGAATGTTGAGGATTTGCGATTTAAATTAATGGATGCTAGGGCTGCCAACGTGGAAAAAGTAATATTAAAGTTTACTCTTATTATGTGCAAATAAATGCGGCAAAATTTGAAAAAAATTCAAAAACATGCGAAGTAAGCAACTAATTAAGCAACTACTAAAATAAACAAAATTACCCAAAATATGCACTAGATATGCAGAAAAAAAGCAAAAAATCAGTGGCTGGAAGCTCGTACCAAAATTCTTATTCGTAATCGTACCTCGTAATTCTTATTCGTAATCGTATTCGTAATTCTTATTCGTAATCGTACCTACGAAATATGAGTAGAGCAATAAAACGGGAAGGTAAGAGTACGAGTACGAGAAAATAAAACAGGCCTAGTACGAGTACGAGCAAATGTGCCCGTACCTCTCGTACTTTGACATTAATTTTTTTAGGAAAAGGAAAAGAAATATTTATAATTTCTTCCATTTTTGCTTTAGTTGTTCGATGGTTTAATGGTTAAGTCACTCACTGGCTTCACTCCCTTGATATTTTCGTAGGGATGGCCTTCGAATCCATGAATGGAGATGAGGCTTAAAAAGTTTAACTTTTTAAAAATAAATGTGTTTAGACTTTGATTTTGATTTTAAATTTTTAAATTAATTTTTTTAATATTTTAAACATACCAAAAAATAATTTTAATTTATTTTATGAATTTTTCAAAATTTTTACCTGCGGCGCAGAAACTTTAAGAGTTCTGGCTTCATGATCAGCTAAACTTCAAAAAATATTTTTGCATGCGTCTCTGACAATTGAATTTTTTCTCCTAAGGCCCAAAAATTCTCAAAATCTTCGCCTGCGGCGCAAAAATGGAAGAAATTGGCTGGTTTATATCTTCAGTGTTTTCCAAATTTCAATAATTATCGAATTCGGCCCTAAAAATCTAAGACTTGATGTTCTGAACCCAAAAAATCATAAAAATTTAAAAATTTTTTGCATATTTCGCAAGTACGAGACAGTGCATTTTACGAGCACGAGGTACGGAGCCAAAAATAGTGCTGGTACGAGTACGAGGTAAAAAATGAGAAATGTACTACGAGTACTAGGAAAAAATAAGGCATTTACGAAAGTACGAGTACGAGGTAAAAAAGGCCTGCACAAAAGTACGCGCACGAGTAAATTTCAAAATTACAGCCACTGGTAAAAATGCGCTTAAAAGTCATATTTTACGTGGCGCGACATTTGGGGATCAGACTTTTGGGGACCCGACAGTTGGGGGACCCGACACTTTTGGGACTCGACAGTTGGGGGACCCGACAGTTGGGGGACCCGACACTTTTGGGACTCGACAGTTGGGGGACCCGACAGTTGGGGGACCCGACACTTTTGGGACCCGACAGTTGGGGGACCCGACACTTTTGGGACCCGACAGTTGGGGGACCCGACAGTTGGGGGACCCGACACTTTTGGGACCCGACAGTTGGGGGACCCGACACTTTTGGGACCCGACAGTTGGGGGACCCGACAGTTGGGGGACCCGACACTTTTGGGACCCGACAGTTGGGGGACCCGACACTTTTGGGACCCGACAGTTGGGGGACCCGACACTTTTGGGACCCGACAGTTGGGGGACCCGACACTTTTGGGACCCGACAGTTGGGGGACCCGACACTTTTGGGACCCGACAGTTGGGGGACCCGACACTTTTGGGACCCGACAGTTGGGGGACCCGACACTTTTGGGACCCGACAGTTGGGGGACCCGACACTTTTGGGACCCGACAGTTGGGGGACCCGACACTTTTGGGACCCGACAGTTGGGGGACCCGACACTTTTGGGACCCGACAGTTGGGGGACCCGACACTTTTGGGACCCGACAGTTGGGGGACCCGACACTTTTGGGACCCGACACTTATGGGACCCGACAGTTGGAGGACCCGACACTTTTGGGACCCGACACTTATGGGACCCGACAGTTGGGGGACCCGACACTTTTGGGACCCGACAGTTGGGGGACCCGACACTTATGGGACTCGACAGTTGGGGGACCCGACAGTTGGGGGACCCGACACTTTTGGGACTCGACAGTTGGGGGACCCGACAGTTGGGGGACCCGACACTTTTGGGACCCGACAGTTGGGGGACCCGACACTTTTGGGACCCGACAGTTGGGGGACCCGACAGTTGGGGGACCCGACACTTTTGGGACCCGACAGTTGGGGGACCCGACACTTTTGGGACCCGACAGTTTCCCCCCTTTTGTTTTTCAATTTTTGGGACCTATAACTTGGTCCAGAATCATTTCCTAAAGTAGGGAGTGGTACCATTCGACTCAGCTCGTCGAGACGAATCGAATGGCATATGTCACGTCCCGAACTTTTATCACCGGTACACTACACTATATCCAAAATTTGTTAAAATAAATTTATTATATTAATAATTAGACTTATAATTTATTCAAAATAATTTTTTGAAAGAATGACACAATGAATGACACAATGATTTACAGTGCCGGAAAAAAAGATAGAGCCAAGGGCTGTTAAATTAATTTTTATCGATTATCTCTTTTCGATTAACCTTTAGTGAAAAAGTTTCAACACAAAAATTGTAGATCTTTATGTGCTCTTTAAAATGAGTATAAATATCACTATGATTTATTAACAAACTTTTTACCAAAAATTTTTAAAAAATACTACCCCATTTTTGGGGTGGAAAAAAAGATAGAGCCAAACCATATAAAATTAAAAATCCCAATTTTCGTTCGGTCAAAAAATTTCCAAAAATTTCTGGGGTCATTTCTATCGATAACGAGTAAAACAGAAAAAAGAACGAGATCTATAACTTCTTTTTTGACCGAGATCTCAAATATCAAAAATCAAGGGAAAACGGGGGTACCGTACTTTAAAAATTATTTTAGCCCCCTTGGGCTTATATAAAAATTTTCTTTTAGGCTCATTTGAAAGCCCATAAAATTTGCTACAAAATAGCACCGAAATTAATTTTTCTGAAAAAATATCTGTTTGATGTAAGTCCATTTTACATTAAAAATGCTCAAAACCTCCCAATATACACCAAAAACGATAAACTCTTCAATTTCACGGCCTTCATCTACATGAATTTTTTATCGAAAAATTTAAGCTTGCGAAATTTTGTAGAGAATTTTATGGGCTTCTAGATAGACCTAAACTAAAATTTTTAATTAAGGCTCTAGGGGGTCAAAATATTTTTTAAAGTACTGTACCCCCATTTTCCGTTGATTTTTGAGATATGAGATCTCGATGAAGAAAGTAGTTGTAGACTTCGTTCTTTTTATTTTTCTACTCAGTATTGATGGTAATATTTACACAAATTTTTGTAGAATTTTTGACCGAACGAAAATTGGGATTTTCAATTTTTAATTATTTGGCTCTATCTTTTTTTCCACCTCAAAAATGGGGTAGTATTTTTTAAAAATTTTTAGCAAAAATTTTGTCGGTAAATTATATTGATATTTATACTCAATTTAAAGAGCATTTAAAGCTCTACAATTTTTGTGTTGAAAATTTTTCTCTAAAAGTTAATCGAAAAGAGATAATCGATAAAAACTAATTTAACAGCTTTTGGCTCTATCTTTTTTTCCGGCACTGTATATAAAATTGAAAGGCCCCGGACGGACTCAAACCCATGACCCCCCTAATCTTTCAATAATTTTAAAAAATTTAAAATAATTTTAGAATAATTTTAAAAATAAGGGGCCCTAAGCGGGTTCGAACCCACGACCCGCCTCCCCCCTCTTTTTTCAATATTAATGCTTTTTCAAGATTATTATTAATTTGAATTTTATTTTTTAATTTTTCTAAATTCCGAAACCTTTATTTTTCTAATTTAAAGGCGGGAAATCTCCGTCAAGAACAATTACGTTTAACCTACCAAAATGACCGTTTAAATGCTTGGAATTATCCAAATGATTGTTTTATAGATTTACATGGAATGAATTGGAAAAGGGCTGTTGAATTTGTTAAATATAAAATTGATTTGTGTAGAGGTGAGGATTGAATTTTGTTGCTCCCAAAAAAGTTCGCAAGCAATAATGATACAAAAATTTATCATTATTGTTGCTGATCTTAGATATATACTACTAACCTGATTCCTACTTTTCTCCGTCCTATTTTCCATTAGTTAAATCATGATAACCCTTTTCCCTATTTTTGCCACATTTTTGATTAGCTGTGCTATATTATTCTAGTGTTCAGAAAAAGGTCCCCTGCTTGATTCAGAACAGGGTTTTTAGTATCACTTCTATCACAAAACTTCTAAAGTTTTATAGAATCTGATATATTCTTGAGGTGACTCGTTGCCTATCAGGGCTGGGCGAATTCAAAAAATAAAAAGCGAAATGCGAAACTTTTCGCGCCAAAAAATGCGAAAGATGCGAAAGCGAAATTAGTTAAAAATTCTAAAAAAATTTTATTCATATTCAAAATTATAAATTACGGGATTATGATGCAAAAATAAAAGCATTTCTGCATTTTCTTGAAGAAGACTCTTCCTTAGATTGTTTATTATTAATCCTGCACTACTAAACAACCTTTCTGCTTCAGCTGATGTACAAGGTGCTGATAGAAAGCGTTTTGCAATTTTGGATAAAATTGGCCATTTAACTGTATTTTCACCTGTCCAAAATCCATAAGGATCACATTCAATCGGAATCTTTTTTGCACGCAAATATTCTGTCACCTCAACCTTAAATATTGATTTAAAACAATAAGCAGTTTAAAGAAACCTCAGCTTTTTGGTGTGCGTTTAATGATTTTTTGCTAGGAAGTTCAAGTGCAATTGGTTCAATATCATTTTGCTTTGAAATGGTTTTTTTGAAATGGCTACTCTTCCAGAAAGTGAGAAATACTTCCATATTAAAGACATTATAATTTAAAAAAATTTCTAAAAAATAAAGAAATACAAAATGAAAAATGCGAAACAAATTTCGCATTTGGACCAAAATGCGAAATGCGAAAGCAAAGCCCAGCCCTGTTGCCTATCCTTGACTTTTTCTTCCCTTTCAAATTTTTTCTTATTTTTAAAGAAACAATGCCTAATTTACGCAAACTTCATGTAATTACTGGGTATGGAAGTACAAGTGGCCATCTTTCTGTTATACGTCAAAAACTTCAAAAATTTTTATCAAATAATGGAATTGAGTAAATTAATTTTTAAATTAATGACTAAGAAAAATTTTTTTTATAAAATTTTTTTAGTTTTTGTATTTCACCTCAAAACCAAGGAGTGGTGGAAATTCGTCTACAAGGAATTCGGCAACGGTTGAGTGGGGTGGATTGAACTTGTTTTAGATTTCCTTTTTTTCGTTTAAAAATACAGTCGAACCTCACTATAAGATACAATCTTAGGGTCGAAAAAATCGTTCCTTGGAATTATAAGCATCTAAGGTAGGAGGGGTCTTTTAGGGCTTACAGAATGACACAACAAGTATCATCATTGTTAGTGTCAGAAAAAAAACAAGAATAATGAAGGACAGTCGGCAACGGTCTAGCACAAGTGCCGGACCAAGTCCGAACATTAATGATAATTACTAGAGACGTCCAAGACCGAAAATTTTCTATGACCAAGACTTAAAAACCCAAGAAAAGTCTTGGAATCAAGACTTAAGACCAAACTTCTTGGAAGTCTCTAATAATTACTAGAACAGTATTGAATTGTGTCTTAAATAGAGGGTATAGTTAACTTATTCGCCCTAATTTTGAAAAAGGGTAGTATTATTGAATATAAATTATAGTGAGGTTCGAACTATTTAAATTTATTATCGTATACTCTACTAATTCTTATATTCTTTTTTGCATAACTCATTGTATTTATTTTTTATCCTCACACATATTTTATCCACTCACTTACTATTTAAACGGAGTATATTCTATGTATTAATTAGAGTTGGAACTCAGGACAAGAGCAGGGTTTTGGGTATTTCGAATAGGTCTGATTTTTTCGGAGGTTTAACGTGGAAAATCCAGCCTGCTGAGTTTAAAAAGAAAAAATTCGAATACCAAGAGTTCAACCTCTATGTATAATATTGATATTCAATTTACTAAATTTTACCATTATATGTCAACTCTCTCTCGATATATCTGTTTCCACTTTATGTTATAAAATCTTTTGTAAAAATTTTATCAAGAATTGACTTTTAATCTTTTTTTACTCAAAAAATATAAATAGGTACTTTTCGGTTTAAGAAAATATATTCTATTTTTATTTAAAAAATTTTCCCTAAAAATAAATTTAGGCAAAAAAATTTACCAACTTTTTACTAGCTTATTAACCAAAAAGTACCTATAAATTTTAATCAAAATTAAATTTATTTTTACATTTTTCAAATAAAATTAATACTACTTCCAATTTTGCTCTTAAAATAAAAAAAATAAATGTAGAAAAATAAATTTAAAAAATAAGAATTTAAAATAAAAATTTTAAAAATTAAAAAAAATTTTTGGGCAGAAAAGAAAAATAAAAAAATTTTTTTTTATTCAAAAAAATTTTTTAATTTTTCAAAAAAAAAATAAAAATTATTTCTTTCAGTTTTTCCTACCTCAATTCAATTTGTGGTCACCGCCTAGTACCTGTTGAATTAGGAAATAAATATACAGACGAAGATTGGGAACAAAAAATAATTAAATTTAATGAATATTTAATTAAATATATTTTCCTCCCACAAAAACAAAAAGAAGAGAAAAATTTAAAAATTGGTTATTTAGCCCAGCACAGATTATTAGACCAAATACCAGAATTAATTAATGATTTAATTATACCAGAATATTGTTCTTTTGGGGAGGAAGAAAAATCAGAATTTACAATTAATGTTTTTATTGGGCCTGAAGAGACTGGTAAAGTTTAAATAAATAAATCAGAATTAATAAATAAACTTGGAATCAGAATTAATTGAAATTAGAATTAATAAATAAATTTGAAATCAGAACAAATAAAACTTGAAATCAGAATAAATAAATAAATTTGAAATCAGAACAAATAAAGCTTGAAATCAGAATTTTAATTAAAACTTGATGAATATTAAAATAAACCTAGAACCAGAAAATAAACTTTAAGTCAGAATGAAAATAAAATTAATAAAACTTGGAAATAACTCTCAAAATCAGAATTTAACAAACATTCTAAAACTTGAAACAAGAATTATATCAGGTTGTAATATTAGAATTTTAATTATTTTATATTGGAATTTCTGATTTCAAGTTTATTTTAATATTTATGTAATAAGTTTTAAAGAAATAATTTAAATCAGAATAAATAAACTTGAAATCAGAATTATTAAATAAAATCGAAAATCAGAATTAATTTTAAAAAATCAGAATTTTAATCAGAATTAATTTTTAAAAATCAGAATTTAAATCAGAATTAATTTTTAAAAATCAGAATTTAAATCAGAATTAATTTTTAAAAATCAGAATTTTAATCAGAATTAATTTTAAAAAATCAGAATTTTAATCAGAATTAATTTAAAAAATTCAGAATTAATATCAGAATTAATTTTTAAAAAATCAGAATTTCTTTAATAATTTCTTTTCAAGTCTCTCCACTCCACACCGATCCTCGTCATAACATGTTCTGTCAAATACGGGGTTCCAAGTTTGTCCGTCTTAATGACCCAAAAGAACGTGAAAATCTCTATCTTTATGACGATTTAATGAGACAAAATAGCAGTCAAGTCAGAAAAAATTCTTTGTGAATTTTTTCAAAATTTATTTTAGGTAGATGTTGAAAATCCAGATTTAATTAAATTTCCACTCTTTTCTAAAGTAAAATGTTATGATAGTGTAGTGGGGGAAGGGCAATGTTTGTTTATACCAAAGGGCTGGTTTCATCATGTTCGGGGTAAATTTAAATATTTCAGAATTTATAAAAATAAAACTTGAAATCAGAATTTTTATAAAACAAAAAAATCAGAATTAATTAAATTCTGAAAAAAATTAAACTTGAAACAAAAATCAGAATTTTAATTTTTGCAGCATTAGAGCCCAGCGTTTCTGCTTCAATTTGGTTTGGATAGATACACTTTGAACATTAATTTATTAAAAAAATTTTTGATTGAAATATTTTTAATTTGCAATTTATTTTTGATTTTTTTTTTTGAATTTTCAATTAAAACCTACATATAAGGCAGTTGCTTATGAGACAAATTCAACAGGAATTTTTTTTAACTAAAAAGTATTTTCTCAAACCAAAAATTATCTACATATTTATAATTTTAATAAATAATATTTTTTGAGTAGAGAAAAAAGAAAAGATTATTAAAAGTCAATTTTTGATAACTTTTACAAAATTTTATATCATAAAATGAAAATATATCAAGGGATTCGAATCAGCTCTTTCGAATGAGCTAACATTTATATAATCGTATTTTTTACCCCAAAAATAGCTTACCCCCCTGGTTTTTCAATGTTCAATCGCCTGTATCTCTGCGAGTTTTCATCTCCCATAGCAATTCTTACATAATTGTATATATTTTTAGTTACGATCTCGATGGACCTATACTACCTACTTGATTATAGAGTACCCGTCACTAAGAATCTTTTGGAGAGGGTTGGGATAAATACTTAGAACATTGATTTAAATATTTTTTTATTTACAATTTTTTTAATTTAAAATTATATACAAAATAAAATTCTGATTTTATTTTCCATTCCTTCTTCTCTTAAATTTTATATTTAACAAATTCAACAGCCCTTTTCCAATTCATTCCATGTAAATCTATAAAACAATCATTTGGACAATTCCAAGCATTTAAACGGTCATTTTGGTAGGTTAAACGTAATTGTTCTTGACGGAGAGTTCCCGCCTGTAAATTGAAAGGAAATTTTTGGAATCGTTTTCTGTTATTTAAAGGTTTTGAATTTAGAAAAATTAAAAAATTCAATTAAATAATCTCGAAGAAACATTAACACTGAAAAAGAGAGGGGAGGGGGGTCGCGGGTTCGAACCCGCTTAGGGCCCTTTATTTTTAAAATTATTCAAAAATTATTTTAAATTTTTTAAAATTATTTTTAAGTGTTTTTAAGCCCAATAGATTTTAATTTTGGAAAAAAATAATTTTGAGATCAATTATTGAAGGTTAGAGGGTCACGGGTTCGAGTCCGCCCAGGGCCTTTTAATTTTTTATATGTCACTCTGGCGGAGAGTTCCGGCCTTTAAATTTAAAAATACTTATTTCTGTTAATTTTTAAATGTTTAGGACCTCATAACTCATTATTTTCAAACAAAAAATTAAGTTTCCAATAAAATTAATTTAAAAAACCTTCTCCATTCTCAGTTCCGCCACTTAAAGTTGAAGAGCTAACGGTATTAACATTTTCTTCACCATTTTATAAGGAATAAATAAATTTGGATTTTTTGGAGGGACAATTATATTAATTGAATTTTGTTGTTCTTCCAATTGTTCTTCTGTTGAAATTAAATCCAATTTTGCATCAAAACTTTCAGAAATATTTAATAAACAATTTGCAGTTAATTCAAAATTATAACTAGGGAAAAATTAAAAATATTCTGATTTTAATAAAATAAACTTGAAAGTTTAAACTTGAAAATATACTTGAAAATCAGAAATTTCAAGTTTATTTTTTTAATTAAAATTCTGATTTCAAGCTTATTTAAATAAAAATTCTGAAAATAAAATTTTATTTAAGAAATCAGAATAAGTTTATTTAAAATTCTGATTCAAGTTTATTATTTCAAGTTTATTTAAATGAAAATTCTGATTTTGAATTTAGTTCCAATTAAAATCAGAATTTTTCCTGATAATATTTAGAAGCAAGTTTATTTTTTAAATTAAAATTCTGATTTCAAGTTTATTTTTTAAATTAAAATTCTGATTTCAAGCTTATTTAAATAAAAATTCTGAAAATAAAATTTAATTTAAGAAATCAGAAAAAGTTCGACCCTAAGGTTGTATCTTATAGTGAGGTTCGATTGTATTTTTAAACGGAAAAAAAGAAATTTAAAACAAATTCAATCCACCCCACTCAACCGTTGCCGAATTCCTTGTAGACGAATTTCCACCACTCCTTGGTTTTGAGGTGAAATACAAAAACTGAAAAATTTTATAAAAAATTTTAATTTAAAAATTAATTTACTCAATTCCATTATTTGATAAAAATTTTTGAAGTTTTTGACGTATAACTGAAAGATGACCACTTGTACTTCCATAACCGGTAATTACATGAAGTTTGCGTAAATTAGGCATTGTTTCTTTAAAATTAAGAAATGTTTGAAAGGAAGGAAAAAAGTCAAGGATAGGCAAAAAAGATAGTGATGTTCGGGAGAAGAAAAACCCCCGGGAAACGGGAGTCGGGTCGGGAAATGACCTCGGGAGTAGGGAGGCCAAAAACTAGGGAAAATTTCCCAACTCGGGAATCGGGATAAACAAATATCACTACAACAGGATGCCTATCAATACCCACAAGCTATTTCAGAAATATACTAACTACAAGTAAAAATAAAAGATACTTTAAATCGTATCAAAATTAAACAAAGTAGAATTTTTGCGAGCTTTATAAAACTACTTTAATTCGACTTTTATAAGCTTTGGAATAGGAAAGGTGATACTGAAAACATGGCCTGAGTCATGGGTCCTTTTTCAAAATACTAAAATAGAGCAAAATGTGGCAATAGAGAAAAATTGGGCACAAATAGGTAAAAAGAGTTACCACGATTTAACTACTGAAAATAGAAAGGAGAAAAATAGAAAAGTTGAATGAACCCCTTATATTGTGTCAATTTTGCATGATTATTGCTTGCGGTTTTTGGGAGGATAATGAGCGGGAAAGGAAATTAACAACAACAAACACAATCCTCACCTCTACACAAATCAATTTTATATTTAACAAATTCAACAGCCCTTTTCCAATTCATTCCATGTAAATCTATAAAACAATCATTTGGACAATTCCAAGCATTTAAACGGTCATTTTGGTAGGTTAAACGTAGTTGTTCTTGATGAAGTGTTCCCGCCTTTAAATTTAAAAAATAAAAAAATTTTTCCGAATTATTCTCTGTTAATTTTCAAAGGTTTTGAATTTAAAAAAATTAAAAAATAAAATTTAATTAAATAATAATTTCGAAAAAGCATTAATATTGAAAAATAGGGGGGAGGGGGGTCGTGGGTTCGAACCCGCTTAGGGCCCCTTATTTTTAAAGTTATCCAAAATTATTCTAAAATTATTTTAAATCTTTTAAAAATATTCTTAAGTGTTTTTTATGCCCGATAGACTTTACTTTTGGAAAAAAAATAATTTTGAGATCAATTATTGAAAGTTAGGGGGTCATGGGTTCGAGTCCGCCCGGCGCCTTTTAATTTTTTATAATCAGAAACTTAAAAAAAATTTTTTTTGAATTTATTATAAGCTTAATTATTAATATAATAATTTAATTTAAACTAATTTTTAAATTTTAGTTAAAAACCCGAGCTGGCCTGGGGGTTTCAGGAATGACCCGGGTTGGGGTTTTAAAGCCCAAAAAATCCGGTCCTGGGCCCAGTGTCTTATTAAGTATTTTACAGAAAAAATTAATTGTCGTTTAAATTTACCCTTCTCATATAATGTCCACACAAAGCACCGCCGTGAGGCTTTCCTCTAACTTGGTTTGCCATAGAAAGGCAGTGACGACGTTCAAAATCTAGTTGTTCGAGTAATTGACTTATTGTTTGTAAAGAATCGTTGAAATTAAGTGAAGGAGACTTGAAAAATGAAAAAATTTTTGGGTCTGAAAATTATTTTAAAAATTCCAAAAAATTTTTTCAAATTTTTTTATTATTAAAGATTTTCCCCTCACCAAATCCTCCAACTTCCCCCCATCCGCGCCCTTCTTATTAGGAGGAGGGGCTCCATACGGAATAATTATATTTGGATTTTTTGAGGGCACAATTATATTAATTGAATTTTGTTGTTCCTCCAATTGTTCTTCTGTTGAAATTAAATCCAATTTTGCATCAAAACTTTCAGAAATATTTAATAAACAATTTGCAGTTAATTCAAAATTATAACTAGGGAAAAATTAAAGAATATTCTGATTTTAATAAAATAAACTTGAAAGTTTAAACTTGAAAATAAACTTGAAAATCAGAAGTTTTAAGTTTATTTTTTAATTAAAAATTCTGATTTCAAGCTTATTTAAATAAAAATTCTGAAAATATAATTTTATTTAATAAATCAGAATAAGTTTATTCAAAATTCTGATTTAAGTTTATTTTTCCAAGTTTATTTAAATAAAAATTCTGATTTCGAATTTAATTCCAATTAAAATCAGAATTTTTCTGAATAATATTTAGAAGTAAGTTTATTTATTTAGTTCTGATTCCATATTTAAATAAATTCTGATTTCAAGTTTATCTATTAAATCCAAGCTTCAAGTTTATTTAATCAAATTTAATTAATTTTTTACCCATTCTCCTTAGCAAAATGTTTAATTGTTTCAGGAGGAACATCAGGGAAAACCTCATATAAAGTAGTTAACGCAGATAATTTAATTAAAGCATTATTATTAGTTGGTATAATTTTTTTCTTTTAAGTTTTAGTTGGAATAACTGTGAAAATAAGAGAAAATAAATTTAATTTTATAGAAAAATTAATTTTTAAAAAAATTAAAAAATAAAACAGCGTAGAAATTTAAAAAAAATTTTTCATTTCAATTTTTATTTTTAAATTACGTTATATGTAGTATATTTATTGAATTCTGGTATCAAGTTTATTTTTTTAAATTAATTCTGGTTCGTTTTAAATTAATTATTCTGATTTTATTATTTAATTAAATTCTGTTTAATTTATTTTTATTTCAGAATTTCTATTTAAACTTGAAATCAGAATTTTTAATTAAAATTATTTTAAACAAAAATTCTGGTTTTGAATAAATTCTGATTATATTCAAGTTTTAATTAAAGCTTATTTTTGTAAATTCTGATTAAATATTAATTCTGATTTAAAGTTTATTTTTTAAGTTTAATTAAAATTCTGATTTTTAATTTTTTAAATTCTGATTTTTTACCTTCTTCTTCTTCCCCCTCAATTATTTTCTCATTAGGAATAGAAACCCCAAAATGTATTGCCTTATAAAACATTTCACATAACCACAAAGGTATTTCAATTTCATTATTTAATAATTCATTTTCTTTTTCTTCCTCCTCATTTTCTTCTTCTTCATCAAATAATTGTCCAATTTTTTTAATAAATTTTTTTGTTAATTTTAATTTAATTATTTTCTTTGTTTTGTTTTTTTCTTCATTATTTTGGGAAGATTCAAATACTTTATTTATAGGATTTTCGTTAATATTTGTTAAATCGTCGTTGGTTTTGGAGGGAGAAAGAAGTTGAGAATTCTGATGTAAACGGTGCTGAAAAATTAAAAGTTAATTAATAATTAAAATTCTGATTCCAAGTTTATTCAAATTGTTGCAAGTTTTTCAGAATTTAATTATGAATTAAATCAGAATTTTAATTAAACTTGAAATCAGCATTAATTTAAATAAACTTGAAATTAAATTCTCATTTTGTAGAATTTAAAGAAATTAAAACTGAAATTATATTATCAGAAATTTTATCAAAATTTCTCACTTTAGGTTTATTTAAATAAAAATTCTGAAAACTAATATCTAGAAAGAAGTTTATTTATTCATTAACAAATTCAATCCTCATTTATTTAATTACATTTAATTAAAAACTAATATTTACATTGTTTCAACCGCTTCAAACGCAAATAAAATCGCAGTATTGACTTGCTCCGCTCCATATATGTTCAGCACATGCCTCGATTGTGTGAATTAATGATGCTGTACTAGCGGTTTCCAATGAAATTTTAGAATTCTGCTGCTTCAGACGCAAACAAAATCACTGTAGAGACTTGTTCCGCCTCATAAAGTGTAATATTTCCAGTTTCCGCACGTGTATCGGTTGTAAGAATTAAGCTGGATGCTTGACGTGCAGTCTCCAAAGCGATCTCCGACATGATTGAAAGGTCGGAACGCCCTACCAAAGTATAGAATTTAGTAAAATTACAAATGTCCTTAGTCTGATAGCAATTTAATTTTTAGAAAAAAACTATCACACTTCTATCACCCCTCATAATTAAATTTGATAACAGAATTAGTAGTGGAAGTCCCATTCCCTCTGAAATCGTTTTAGAATACTGCTTACAGTTATTTTAAAGAATTATATCCACTTTAAAAAAATAAATACCCCCGAGCGGGTTCGAACCCACGACCCCTTCAATTTAAAAATAATTGTCATTTTAATCAGAAAAAATTTTAAAATTATTTTAAAATAAAAAATACCATATAATCTTCACATAAAAAATCCAATTTAGCCAAAAGTGCACACAGAAAAGAATAAAGTAAACGCAAACGATCAGGCACATTGGAGTAATGTCCAGTATTTAACCAGGAATCACAAAGGCGTTCTAATCGATAAATATTGACACGAAGTGAATTTAGAGATTCTTTTGAAGGTTTTTCTAAAAAGAAAGTGAGTAAGAGGGTTAAATTTAAAAAAATAATTGAGGAGAAAAAAAATTAAAAAATAACCGGAGGGGTGGAGGTTCGAACCCGCTCGGAGAAAATATTTTTAAAAAGGACTTTTTTCGTAATAAACGGGTAAGAATAAATTAAATCTACAGATTTTTAAGTTATAAATTCAAAAGAGATTAAATAGAAAGCCAAAAACTTTAGAGATAACTAATAAAGGGGGTAGAGGTTCGAACCCGTTCGAGGCCCTTATATATAAATTTACCCAGAATTTCACTAAAAATAACTCAATAATTTTTAAAAATAGTTTAAAAAATTAAGAAAAACCTTCACTCTTTCCATTTGCCAATTTATCCAATTCCTTAGCCATTTCAACAGCTACATTCATTATAGGAAAGCCATTAAAGTGTTTTAACAAAATTGGATGAAATTCAGCCAAAATACTTAAATTGCCTAAGAGCATTGGAATTTTGTGGAAGATCAGACATATTCAATTTCTAAAATTATTTTATTTTCTGTCAATATTTTTAAATCTTAGAAAAAAAAATCGAAAAAAGAAATTTAAGAATATTCCCCAAACATTGTCGTTTTGCCCAAAAATAAATATGCCAAAAATTTTTTAATTTAACTAAAAGGAAAAATACTTATAGGATGCCTATTTTTCGGAAAAAATCAAAATAATCTAATTAAAAATTAAACAGCCCCCGACGGGTTCGAACCCACGACCCCCAAAAATATAAAACAGGAACTTAATTTCCAAAATCAAACTGAAAATCGACTCAAATCAAGTCCGAATTTTGTTTTAGAATTATTTTCAATAAACCGAAAAACTGAAGAAATATGAAAAAGAAAAAAACCTTTCACTGTCAGAAAAAGAAAAATTCACAGCAAAAAATCCCCATCCTCTCATTTTTCCTCTTCTTTTCTAATGATAAGCACACCGGTTTTTCCTTCAATCAATTCTTTTGGAAGATAGGAATTTAAAAAACCATTGCAAAAAGCCCATTTTGAGGCCCACCGTTTGAATATGGAGGGCAACCACCTCCGCCACCAGCACCGTCCAAAGTTGTTATTTACCCGTTACGTTGTTGTTGTTGAAATTTTTTGCAGGTTAAATATTCCTAAAGAGAAAGATGTAAAAAACTTGATTAACCAAAAATAAATTTTAAACTCATTAAAAAATAATCGGCCCCGAGCAGGTTCGAACCCACGACCCCCCCCCCCTCTTCCACCAAAAAATCTAATTCTTCATTCCCAAATCAATTCTTTAAAAAACCTCGATGATATAGACATTTTCTCGGATTGAAAACGTTCAATCAAAACCTCTTGTCTGTCCAATTCAATTATTTCACCTTTAAATCCTCCTTTACAAATCAACCATAAAGTAGTTACATCTTGTAAAATTAAATTTGAAAACGATAATGTAAAGAAAAAACCTTGATATAAGCTTCTTCCGGCAAATAAACCACACTCATTTAACGGTGATGTCGTCGATATTCAATAAATATTCCATGGATTCCAATAATTTAATTCCCATATTCCATAACATTCCATATCAGGATAATTACGAAAAAACCTTAAATTAAAAAAGTTAGGTTGAGTCAAATTAAAATTGAGACAGTTTAACCCTACTCGTAAGATTTGCCTAAAAAGAAAAAAAGTACCGAGGGGTCAATGGTTCGACCCCACTTGAGGACCGTTAATTTTTAAATCGATACTTAAACAAAAAAATAAGGCTACCTTATACAACCTTATATGGAAGGAATTTTAAAAAATTCTAAAAACACCAAGAGTTCAAAATATATGTGTTGTGCAGAGGGCTCGTGGTAGTTAATTCTTTAATCGAATATTACAAAAAATAAAGCATTCTTGCACAAAAACAACTCTCCTACACGAAAACAACTCTTGATAATTTCCAAAAAACACCAAGTGTTCGGAATGTTCATGGATTCAAAGGGGGCATGGGTACGAACCCGATCATGGAATATACCGAATATTTCAACAAAAACAAATAAAACCTTAAAAACAAAAAGATAAACCAATAAAGACACATCACAAATCAAATGGGGCATCTCGTGGATCAAACGAAGAATCGCGGAAGTCACTAAAATTTATATAAATTAATTCTCCAAGTCACCGCATACTCGCTGAGTCCTTCATGAAGTGGCAGATTTTGCGAGAAAGTTCCAATACATCAACGAAGTTGGCCTTTATTCCAAGTTACATACAAATGTTTTCATTTGGAACATTAGTTGGGCATTTTGGCCATTTACTTTTGATTAGATGTGCAATTAACTGTAAAAGAATGTAATCTCATTAAGAAAAAAATTAGGGGCCTCAAACGGGTTCGAACCCGCGACCCCCTAAAATAAATATTTGGGATAAAGTGTCACTGTTAATTTGTACGTAGAAGTTACTAAGAAAGTACGACTACGCTTTACGGAAAATGGTGGAGAACGCTTTAGGAATGCAAGTGTCAAAGGTTTGAAAATTGGCAAAGTATCAGTATCCCGAAATTTTGTGGGTATTTAAAAATGTGAAATCCAAATAAAAGAGAATAAAATTGGTTTAGGTTGATATTAAAATAAACAATTTAGACAGTTATTCAAATTTGAATAACAAAAGGAAGCAAAATATGTAGAACAAAAAACAGAAATTTTGGGGGTCGCGGGTTCGATGCCGCTCGATGCCCGATAATTTTTAAATTGGCCAAAAACGCATAATTTTCGTATAAAATGCCCACAAACTCCACTAAACCATAAAAATTCCAAACCTCATTAAAACAATGCACCGGCATATCAATTGTAGCAATTTAACCACCATTATTGGGCACAATAACTCCATTCGTTATCTGCTGGAAAACTGAATTCTTGGAAGCGGCAGATTTTGTCTTGATGAGCAAGGAGTCATTTTGCCTTATCATTTCAATTTAAAGAAACAAAAGACTCTAAATACAGTTGGCTAAAATAATAGAGGCAAAATTGGCCCACCCTGAAATTATTTTTTAAGAAAATTTTTTGGGTGGGCCAAAATGCCCAAAAATAATTACTTTTAAAAATTAAAAAATATCCAAAGGATTCTAATGATCCTATAAAGAAAATAAAAACCATTTTTCAAAACAATTTTTCTCTTTAACAAAAATGTATCATAATGTTTTTTATTTTTTTAAATTTTTCAACCATTTCACTCTTCAGCTTCTCGTTGTATCTGTTCTGCCTCAAGACGATCGGCTAATTCTGCCGCTTCAGAAGCAAACAAAATGGCCGTATTGACTTGTTCAGCCTCATAAAGTGTAATGTTGCCAGTTTCAGCAGCTGCATCGGTTGCGAGAATCAAGCTGGATGCTTGTCGTGCAGTCTCCAAAGCAATTTCCGACATGATAGAAAGGTCGGAACGACCTACCAAATTATAGAATAATTTAGTAAAAGGACGATGGGATGGGTGTATACAAAAATCCAGTGTTAATAAAAGAGACCGCTAGAATCTATTTACTTAACTTAAGGTCCTTATAAGAAATGATCACTTAGTTCTATAATTCTCCTATCAAAGAAACTCATTCCAGAAAATTAAGAGTTTAACCAATGGATAGGCTATAAGGCCTGAAAGAGGATGGAGTAAGAGCTCTCGAAATACCAAAAATGGGAGATGTTGTTCCGAAAATGGGGATAGTTTTTTCTCAAAAAATCTTAACAGCTGCGGAGGAAGCCGGGAATGTCGGGTACGACCGCGGCGAAGCAAGGTCATCGTTAGCGAAGACCATGCCCGGCCTACCCATTGGAGCGGTATTTCGAGTTTTTGGTATAATAAATCTAAGATTATAACTAATAGATAAACCCGCGACCCCAAGTTTCCCAAAAATAATTTAAAAAAACTTTAAATAAATTAAAAAACCTCCAGTCTCAGTTCCACCATTTAAGGTTGAAGAGCTGATGGTATTGACATTTTCTTCACTGTTTTGTTCCAATTCCCCATTTTGTTCTCGATTGTTCTCCATTTTAATTAAATTTAATTTAATATTTTAGCTAAAAATAATAGAAATTTTAGGCGAAACTGAACTTGGCGGTGGTTAGATTTGAAAGTAACGGAATTCAGAGGGTAAGGGACGACTCAGAGTCGCCGATTCAGAGTACGGGGAAAAGGGACAATTCAGTGTACGTAGAATAAAATACCCTAAAAATCTAGATTTTTAGAAAACAATTGATGTATTTTATAAAAATCTTTCTTGTTTCCTTTTATTGTTTTAGAGAGAACAGCAATTTGCCCAAAAAACAGCAATTATTCAATGGTCTACTCTATGTTGTGAGGTTCTGCCCGCAACATTTCAGTCTGGAAACCTTGCAGTTTTGGAAGGATAAAATGGATGATGAAATTTTGCCGACAAAACCTTTATCACAAACGGCCCTCTTTAGAGCCACAAATTTAACTAATTTTATCCCTCCCCTTCCTCCTTTCTATTAATTAGTACAAATTGTTACTCTTTTGGCAGGTAAAAATTATGAGTCTCGAGTGTACTTTGGCGAAATGTTTTAAAAATAGACAATGTAGAGATCAATGTAGCGTATCCCCTCAAAATCTCTATTCCTTAAAATCTCTACTGGGCTAAAATGCCTTATAATCTCTACACAGCTAAAATGCATTAAAATCTCTACTCGGCTAAAAATTATTAAAATAAATATTCCTTAAAATCTCTATTCCTCATAATCTCTACACGGGTAAAACGCCTTAAAATCTCTACACGGCCAAAAATAGGCTCGATGCCCGATAATTTTTAAATTGGCCAAAAACGCATAATTTTCGTATAAAATGCCTCCAACTCCACTAAACCATAAAAAATTCCAAACCTCATTAAAACTGCACCGGCAAATCAATTGTAGCAATTTAACCGCCATCATTGGGCACAATAACTCCATTCGTTACCTGATGGAAAGCTGAATTATTGGTTGCGGCAGAATTTGTCTTGATGAGCAAGGAGTCATTCTGCCTTGTCATTTCAATTTAAAGAAACAAAAGACTCTAAATAGAGTTGGCTAAAATAATAGAGGCAAAATTGGCCCACCCTGAAATTATTTTTTAAGAAAATTTTTTGGGTGGGCCAAAATGCCCAAAAATAATTACTTTTAAAAATTAAAAAATATCCAAAGGATTCTAATGATCCTATAAAGAAAATAAAAACCATTTTTCAAAACAATTTTTCTCTTTAACAAAAATGTATCATAATGTTTTTTATTTTTTTAAATTTTTCAACCATTTCACTCTTCAGCTTCTCGTTGTATCTGTTCTGCCTCAAGACGATCGGCTAATTCTGCCGCTTCAGAAGCAAACAAAATGGCCGTATTGACTTGTTCAGCCTCATAAAGTGTAATGTTGCCAGTTTCAGCAGCTGCATCGGTTGCGAGAATCAAGCTGGATGCTTGTCGTGCAGTCTCCAAAGCAATTTCCGACATGATAGAAAGGTCGGAACGACCTACCAAATTATAGAATAATTTAGTAAAAGGACGATGGGATGGGTGTATACAAAAATCCAGTGTTAATAAAAGAGACCGCTAGAATCTATTTACTTAACTTAAGGTCCTTATAAGAAATGATCACTTAGTTCTATAATTCTCCTATCAAAGAAACTCATTCCAGAAAATTAAGAGTTTAACCAATGGATAGGCTATAAGGCCTGAAAGAGGATGGAGTAAGAGCTCTCGAAATACCAAAAATGGGAGATGTTGTTCCGAAAATGGGGATAGTTTTTTCTCAAAAAATCTTAACAGCTGCGGAGGAAGCCGGGAATGTCGGGTACGACCGCGGCGAAGCAAGGTCATCGTTAGCGAAGACCATGCCCGGCCTACCCATTGGAGCGGTATTTCGAGTTTTTGGTATAATAAATCTAAGATTATAACTAATAGATAAACCCGCGACCCCAAGTTTCCCAAAAATAATTTAAAAAAACTTTAAATAAATTAAAAAACCTCCAGTCTCAGTTCCACCATTTAAGGTTGAAGAGCTGATGGTATTGACATTTTCTTCACTGTTTTGTTCCAATTCCCCATTTTGTTCTCGATTGTTCTCCATTTTAATTAAATTTAATTTAATATTTTAGCTAAAAATAATAGAAATTTTAGGCGAAACTGAACTTGGCGGTGGTTAGATTTGAAAGTAACGGAATTCAGAGGGTAAGGGACGACTCAGAGTCGCCGATTCAGAGTACGGGGAAAAGGGACAATTCAGTGTACGTAGAATAAAATACCCTAAAAATCTAGATTTTTAGAAAACAATTGATGTATTTTATAAAAATCTTTCTTGTTTCCTTTTATTGTTTTAGAGAGAACAGCAATTTGCCCAAAAAACAGCAATTATTCAATGGTCTACTCTATGTTGTGAGGTTCTGCCCGCAACATTTCAGTCTGGAAACCTTGCAGTTTTGGAAGGATAAAATGGATGATGAAATTTTGCCGACAAAACCTTTATCACAAACGGCCCTCTTTAGAGCCACAAATTTAACTAATTTTATCCCTCCCCTTCCTCCTTTCTATTAATTAGTACAAATTGTTACTCTTTTGGCAGGTAAAAATTATGAGTCTCGAGTGTACTTTGGCGAAATGTTTTAAAAATAGACAATGTAGAGATCAATGTAGCGTATCCCCTCAAAATCTCTATTCCTTAAAATCTCTACTGGGCTAAAATGCCTTATAATCTCTACACAGCTAAAATGCATTAAAATCTCTACTCGGCTAAAAATTATTAAAATAAATATTCCTTAAAATCTCTATTCCTCATAATCTCTACACGGGTAAAACGCCTTAAAATCTCTACACGGCCAAAAATAGGCTCGATGCCCGATAATTTTTAAATTGGCCAAAAACGCATAATTTTCGTATAAAATGCCTCCAACTCCACTAAACCATAAAAAATTCCAAACCTCATTAAAACTGCACCGGCAAATCAATTGTAGCAATTTAACCGCCATCATTGGGCACAATAACTCCATTCGTTACCTGATGGAAAGCTGAATTATTGGTTGCGGCAGAATTTGTCTTGATGAGCAAGGAGTCATTCTGCCTTGTCATTTCAATTTAAAGAAACAAAAGACTCTAAATAGAGTTGGCTAAAATAATAGAGGCAAAATTGGCCCACCCTGAAATTATTTTTTAAGAAAATTTTTTGGGTGGGCCAAAATGTCAACAATCACTTTTGAAAATTAAAAAAGTATTCAAAGGATTTTAAAATCCAATAAAGAAAATAAAAACAATTTTTATCAAAACAATTTTTTCTTCAACTAAAGTGTATCATAAAGTTTTTTATATTTTTTGATTTTTCAACAATTTACTCATCAGTTTCACGTTGAATCTGTTCTGCCTCAAGACGATCTGCTAATTCTGCTGCTTCCGACGCAAACAAAATCGCCGTATTGACTTGTTCCGCCTCATAGAGTGTAATATTTCCAGTTTCAGCAGCTGCATCGGTTGCGAGAATCAAGCTGGATGCTTGTCGTGCAGTCTCCAAAGCAATTTCCGACATGATAGAAAGGTCGGAACGACCTACCAAATTATAGAATAATTTAGTAAAAGGACGATGGGATGGGTGTATACAAAAATCCAGTGTTAATAAAAGAGACCGCTAGAATCTATTTACTTAACTTAAGGTCCTTATAAGAAATGATCACTTAGTTCTATAATTCTCCTATCAAAGAAACTCATTCCAGAAAATTAAGAGTTTAACCAATGGATAGGCTATAAGGCCTGAAAGAGGATGGAGTAAGAGCTCTCGAAATACCAAAAATGGGAGATGTTGTTCCGAAAATGGGGATAGTTTTTTCTCAAAAAATCTTAACAGCTGCGGAGGAAGCCGGGAATGTCGGGTACGACCGCGGCGAAGCAAGGTCATCGTTAGCGAAGACCATGCCCGGCCTACCCATTGGAGCGGTATTTCGAGTTTTTGGTATAATAAATCTAAGATTATAACTAATAGATAAACCCGCGACCCCAAGTTTCCCAAAAATAATTTAAAAAAACTTTAAATAAATTAAAAAACCTCCAGTCTCAGTTCCACCATTTAAGGTTGAAGAGCTGATGGTATTGACATTTTCTTCACTGTTTTGTTCCAATTCCCCATTTTGTTCTCGATTGTTCTCCATTTTAATTAAATTTAATTTAATATTTTAGCTAAAAATAATAGAAATTTTAGGCGAAACTGAACTTGGCGGTGGTTAGATTTGAAAGTAACGGAATTCAGAGGGTAAGGGACGACTCAGAGTCGCCGATTCAGAGTACGGGGAAAAGGGACAATTCAGTGTACGTAGAATAAAATACCCTAAAAATCTAGATTTTTAGAAAACAATTGATGTATTTTATAAAAATCTTTCTTGTTTCCTTTTATTGTTTTAGAGAGAACAGCAATTTGCCCAAAAAACAGCAATTATTCAATGGTCTACTCTATGTTGTGAGGTTCTGCCCGCAACATTTCAGTCTGGCTCTACATTGGGCTCCCATACAAAATCTCTATTCCTTAAAATCGCTATTCCTTAAAATCTCTACTAATCTAAAAATGCTTAAAATCTCTATTCCTTAAAATAACTATTCCTTAAAATCTCTACTGGGGTAAAAATAATTAAAATCTCTACACCGTGCAAATGGATGGTAGAGTCTCAACAAAAGTGTAAAATATGAACTTTTCATTGGAAAACCCAGACTTGGTAATGGATACGGATATGGATACAATTGATTTAAAAATGGCTGCGGATATCTGCTTGTATCCGCCGTAAATATCGAAGATATAATACACGACTGCTTCGCTGCGGTCGTGTTCATTTTGCTTGCGGTGATTGTATGCTGTCGTTCCGCTGGACATGCCTGGGTTCATCCGCAGCGGCAAAAACAATACAAGCAAAATAATATCAAAAGATAAGCCAGAAATCAGAACAACGTTTCCGCACTGAACGTTGGCACTCAAAAGTCTTCCGAATGAAAAATAGACATTTTATCCTATTTTTGGCCGTGTAGAGATTTTAAGGCGTTTTACCCGTGTAGAGATTATGAGGAATAGAGATTTTAAGGAATATTTATTTTAATAATTTTTAGCCGAGTAGAGATTTTAATGCATTTTAGCTGTGTAGAGATTATAAGGCATTTTAGCCCAGTAGAGATTTTAAGGAATAGAGATTTTGAGGGGATACGCTACATTGATCTCTACATTGTCTATTTTTAAAACATTTCGCCAAAGTACACTCGAGACTCATAATTTTTACCTGCCAAAAGAGTAACAATTTGTACTAATTAATAGAAAGGAGGAAGGGGAGGGATAAAATTAGTTAAATTTGTGGCTCTAAAGAGGGCCGTTTGTGATAAAGGTTTTGTCGGCAAAATTTCATCATCCATTTTATCCTTCCAAAACTGCAAGGTTTCCAGACTGAAATGTTGCGGGCAGAACCTCACAACATAGAGTAGACCATTGAATAATTGCTGTTTTTTGGGCAAATTGCTGTTCTCTCTAAAACAATAAAAGGAAACAAGAAAGATTTTTATAAAATACATCAATTGTTTTCTAAAAATCTAGATTTTTAGGGTATTTTATTCTACGTACACTGAATTGTCCCTTTTCCCCGTACTCTGAATCGGCGACTCTGAGTCGTCCCTTACCCTCTGAATTCCGTTACTTTCAAATCTAACCACCGCCAAGTTCAGTTTCGCCTAAAATTTCTATTATTTTTAGCTAAAATATTAAATTAAATTTAATTAAAATGGAGAACAATCGAGAACAAAATGGGGAATTGGAACAAAACAGTGAAGAAAATGTCAATACCATCAGCTCTTCAACCTTAAATGGTGGAACTGAGACTGGAGGTTTTTTAATTTATTTAAAGTTTTTTTAAATTGTTTCTTGGGAAACTTGGGGTCGCGGGTTTATTTATTAGTTGTAATCACTTATGTTTTTTTATACCAAAAACTCGAAATACCGCTCCAGTGGGTAGGCCGGGCATGGTCTTTGCTAAACGATGGCCTTGCTTTGCCGCGGTTGTGTCCGACATGCCCGGCTTCCTCCGCAGATGTTGAGACTTTTTCGAGAAAAAAACTATCCCCATTTTCGGAACAACATCTCCCATTTTTGGTATTTCGAGAGCTCTTACTCCATCCTCTTTCAGGCCCTGTAGCCTATCCATTGGTTAAACTCTTAATTTTCTGGGATGAGTTTCTTTGATAGGAGAATTATAGAACTAAGTGATCATTTCTTATAAGGACCTTAAGTTAAGTAAATAGATTCTATTGGACTCTTTTATTGACATTGGATTTTTGTATCCACCCATCCCATCGTCCTTTCACTAAATTCTATAATTTGGTAGGTCGTTCCGACCTTTCAATCATGTCGGAAATTGCTTTGGAGACTGCACGCACTGCATCAAATCTTATTCTTACAACCGATGCAGCTGCTGAAACTGGAAATATTACACTCTATGAGGCGGAACAAGTCAATACGGCGATTTTGTTTGCGTCGGAAGCAGCAGAATTAGCAGATCGTCTTGAGGCAGAACAGATTCAACGTGAAACTGATGAGTAAATTGTTGAAAAATCAAAAAATATAAAAAACTTTATGATACACTTTAGTTGAAGAAAAAATTGTTTTGATAAAAATTGTTTTTATTTTCTTTATTGGATTTTAAAATCCTTTGAATACTTTTTTAATTTTCAAAAGTGATTGTTGACATTTTGGCCCACCCAAAAAATTTTCTTAAAAAATAATTTCAGGGTGGGCCAATTTTGCCTCTATTATTTTAGCCAACTCTATTTAGAGTCTTTTGTTTCTTTAAATTGAAATGACAAGGCAGAATGACTCCTTGCTCATCAAGACAAATTCTGCCGCAACCAATAATTCAGCTTTCCATCAGGTAACGAATGGAGTTATTGTGCCCAATGATGGCGGTTAAATTGCTACAATTGATTTGCCGGTGCAGTTTTAATGAGGTTTGGAATTTTTTATGGTTTAGTGGAGTTGGAGGCATTTTATACGAAAATTATGCGTTTTTGGCCAATTTAAAAATTATCGGGCATCGAGCGGCATCGAACCCGCGACCCCCAAAATTTCTATATTTTGTTTTATTTTGCTTCCTTTTATTATTCAAACTTGAATAACTGTCTATTTGTTTATTTTATTGTCAACCCAAAGCAATTTTAGTATCACTTTTATTTGATTTCAGATTTTTAAATACTCCCCCCCCCCATTTGGAATACAGATACTCACAGGTTTGACCATTTTCAAACCTTTGACACTTGAATTCCTAAAGCGTTCTCCACCATTTTCCGTAAAGCGTAGTCGTACTTTTTTAGTAACTTCTACGTACAAATTAACAGTGACACTTTATCCCAAATATTTATTTTAGGGGGTCGCGGGTTCGAACCAGACGTGGGCGAAACGTTTCGTTTCGTTTCGTTGTTTCGTTAGTTTCGTTATATTTTTTACTGTTTCGTCTCGTTTCGTGACGAAACACTTTTTAATTTGTTTCGTTTCGTTTTGTTAACGAAACACCTGTGTTTCGTTAACGAAACATTAGGTACTTTTTAAGCCAAAATATCACTCAAAAACTGAAAAATTTTCCACTTTGGTGATGGAAATTCAAAAAATTTTTGCCTGCGGCGCTGAAATCTGAATTTTAAGAGTCTTCAGCGCATAATTTACAAGATTATTTTTGATTTTTTCAATTGACAATATGTTTTTGTTCAAAAATTCTTCATATTATGTTCTATACTCGACTATGTTTTATACACCGATATCCCCATTTTTATGCTTAATGGGGATATTGGAGAAATTGGGGGATTAATAGTAATATCGAGGGATTTTGTGGGAAGAGATATCGAGGCAAGTGTACATACCACCCTGTTTCAGTTTGTACCAGGCTCAATTGGGAGGCGTTTGCCCTTTTTACCTTATCTGAAAAAAGAAGAAATCTGGCCTATTAGCCTTCAAATTTAAAAAAATTTTCGCCTGCGGCGCAGAAAAAAGGAATTTTTTTGGTCTACAGCCTTCTAAAATTTTCAAAATTTTCGCCTGCGCAGCTGAAAATCATAATTTTCAGCGGCGCCGAAAATTTGGTGCAGTAAATTTTCCTCCCTTTATCTCCACAAAAAAATCCTGGCTATGGGACTGATGGCGATATAGACAATTAGGTGAGATTAAGAGAAAAATGAACGTTTAAGATGATTTGCAATGGCTAAACACAAATTGGGATCACAAATTGTTGCCCCATGGCTAATGGGACCAAAATTTGTGGTCCCACATAATTATTTGATGGCATAAATGTCATTAATGGCCAATTAACAAGCTTAAAACTGAATAATTAATAAAATAATTAGGTTTTTTGAGATTTTTTTTGGAAATTAAAATGTTTCGTTTTGTTTCGTTTCGTTTCGTTAAATTTTCACTGTTTCGTTTCGTTTTGTTAACGAAACGATTTTTAAAAATTTTTGTTTCGTTTCGTTTCGTCCAAAAAATTTGGAGTTTCGCCCAGGTCTGGTTCGAACCCGTTTGAGGCCCCTAATTTTTTTTCTAAATGAGATTACATTCTTTTACAGTTAATTGCACATCTAATCAAAAGTAAATGGCCAAAATGCCCAACTAATGTTCCAAATGAAAACATTTGTATGTAACTTGGAATAAAGGCCAACTTCGTTGATGTATTGGAACTTTCTCGCAAAATCTGCCACTTCATGAAGGACTCAGCGAGTATGCGGTGACTTGGAGAATTAATTTATATAAATTTTAGTGACTTCCGCGATTCTTCGTTTGATCCACGAGATGCCCCATTTGATTTGTGATGTGTCTTTATTGGTTTATCTTTTTGTTTTTAAGGTTTTATTTGTTTTTGTTGAAATATTCGGTATATTCCATGATCGGGTTCGTACCCATGCCCCCTTTGAATCCATGAACATTCCGAACACTTGGTGTTTTTTGGAAATTATCAAGAGTTGTTTTCGTGTAGGAGAGTTGTTTTTGTGCAAGAATGCTTTATTTTTTGTAATATTCGATTAAAGAATTAACTACCACGAGCCCTCTGCACAACACATATATTTTGAACTCTTGGTGTTTTTAGAATTTTTTAAAATTCCTTCCATATAAGGTTGTATAAGGTAGCCTTATTTTTTTGTTTAAGTATCGATTTAAAAATTAACGGTCCTCAAGTGGGGTCGAACCATTGACACCTCGGTACTTTTTTTGTCTTTTTAGGCAAATTTTACGAGTAGGGTTAAACTGTCTCAATTTTAATTTGACTCAACCTAACTTTTTTATTTAAGGTTTTTTCGTAATTATCCTGATATGGAATGTTATGGAATATGGGAATTAAAATATTGGAATCCATAGAATATTTATTGAATATCGACAACATCACCGTTAAATAAGTGTGGTTTATTTGCCGGAAGTAGCTTAGATCAAGGTTTTTTCTTTACATTATTTTTTTGAAATTTGATTTTACAGGATGAAACCACTTTAAGGTTGATGTGTAAAAGAGGGTTTAAAAGTGAAATAATTGAAATGGACAGACGAGCGGTTTTGATTGAACGTTTTCAATCCGAGAAAATGTCTATATCATCGAGGTTTTTTAAAGAACAAATTTTGAAATTAAAAATTAGATTTTTTGGTGGAAGAGGGGGGGGGGGTCGTGGGTTCGAACCTGCTCGGGGCCGATTATTTTTTAATGAGTTTAAAATTTATTTGTATACAAAATCAGGTTTTAAATATCCTCAAATTTAGGAATATTTAACCTACAAAAAATTTCAACAACAACAACGTAACGGTGAAATAACTTTGGACGGTGCTGGTGGCGGAGGAAGAGGAGGAGGGGGATGTCCTTCATCTTCACACGGTGGGCCTCGAAATGGGCTTTTATGCAACGGATTTTTAAATTCTTGTCTTCCAAAAGAATTGATTGAAGGAAAAACCGGTGTGCTTAGAAAAGAAGGGGAAAAATGTGAGGATGTAATTTTTTGGTGTGAATTTTTCTTTTTCTGACAGTGAAAGGTTTTTTTCTTTTTCATATTTCTTCAGTTTTTCGGTTTATTGAAAATAATTCTAAAACAAAATTCGGACTTGATTTGAGTCGATTTTCAGTTTAATTTTGGAAATTAAGTTCCTGTTTTATATTTTTGGAAGTCGTGCGTTCGAACCCGTCGGAGGCTGTTTAATTTTTAATTAGATTATTTTGATTTTTTCCGAAAAATAGGCATCCTATAAGTATTTTTCCTTTTAGTTAAATTAAAAAATTTTTGGCATATTTATTTTTGGGCAAAACGACAATGTTTGGGGAATATTCTTAAATTTCTTTTTTCGATTTTTTTTTCTAAGATTTAAAAATATTGACAGAAAATAAAATAATTTTAGAAATTGAATATGTCTGATCTTCCACAAAATTCCAATGCTCTTAGGCAATTTAAGTATTTTGGCTGAATTTCATCCAATTTTGTACAAGTACTTTAATGGCCTTCCTATCATGAATGTAGCTGTTGATATAAATTGGCAAATGGACTAAATGAAGGTTTTCTTTTTTTAAACTATTTTTAAAAATTATGGGCGTTTTTTAATTATATTCTGGGTAAATTTATATTTAATGGCCCCGAACGAGTTCGAACCTTCACCCTCTTTATTATCGGACTCTTAAGTTTTTAGCTTTCTATTTAGTCTCTTTTCAATTTATAACTTAAAAATCTGTCGATTTAATTTATTTTTACCCGTTTATTACGAAAAAAGTCCTTTTTAAAAATATTTTCTCCGAGCGGGTTCGAACCTGCACCCCCCTTCCTTTCCTGTTATTTTTTAATTTTTTTTCTCCCCAATTATTTTTTTAAATTTAATTTTTTATTCACTTTCTTTTTAAAGAAAAACCTTCAAAAGAATCTCTAAATGCACTTCGTCTAAATATTTACCGATTAGAACGCCTTTGTGATTCCTGGTTAAATACTGGACATTACTCCAATGTGCCTGATTGTTTGCGTTTACTTTATTCTTTTCTGTGTGCACTTTTGGCTAAATTGGATTTTTTATGTGAAGATTATATGGTATTTTTTATTTTAAAATAATTTTAAAATTTTTTCTGATTAAAATGACAATTATTTTTAAATTGAAGGGGTCGTGGGTTCGAACCCGCTCGGGGGTATTTATTTTTTTAAAGTGGATATAATTCTTTAAAATAACTGTAAGCAGTATTCTAAAACGATTTCAGAGGGAATGGGACTTCCACTACTAATTCTGTTATCAAATTTAATTATGAGGGGTGATAGAAGTGTGATAGTTTTTTTCTAAAAATTAAATTGCTATCAGACTAGGAGATTTGTAACTAGCCAGATCATTTTTGTCGAATTTTTTGCGGATTTTTATCGCGGATTCTTTATCAACACTTGATTTTTGTTAAATAAGTCGACTCCTCTACACAAAAATTGATTTTTTTTTGTTTGGATTCTTTTGGTAAAATAATTTTTTAAGGATTACAAACTTGTTCGAATCTTTCAATCATTTCTAAAATTTCTTGGTAGACCGTTAGTACAAAATCAAGCTTGATTTACACAACCGAGGCTCGTGCTGAAACTGGAAAAATTACACTTTATGAGGCGGAACAAGTTTTACGGCGATTTTGTTTGCGTTTGAAGCGGCTGAAACAACGTAAACATTAATTTTTAATTAAATGTAATTAAATAAATGAGGCTTGAATTTGTTAATGAATAAATAAACTTCTTTATAATTACTAGTTTTCAGAATTTTTATTTAAATAAACCTAAAGTGAGAAATTTTGATAAAATTTCTGATAATATAATTTCAGTTTTAATTTCCTTAAATTCTAAAAAATGAGAATTTAATTTCAAGTTTATTTAAATTAATGCTGATTTCAAGTTTAATAAGAATTCTGATTTAATTTAAATTCTGAATTCTGACCAATTTAAATATATAATAAAATTCTGACAAATCAGAAATTCATATAAACTTGAAAATCAGAATTTAATTTTTAATTAAACTTTAATTTTTTATTTTTTAGCATCGTTTACATCAGAATTCCCAACCCTCTAAAACCAATGAAGATTTAATAAATAAAAATGAAAATCCAATAAATAAAGTATAATGAAATTGAAATACCTTTGTGGTTATGTGAAATGTTTTATAAGGCAATACATTTTGGGGTATCTATTCCTAATGAGAAAATAATTGAGGGGGAAGAAGAAGGTAAAAAATCAGAATTTAAAAAATAAACTTGAATTAAATCAGAATTTTTAAAATCAGAATTAAAAAAATTAAAAACCAGAATTTTAATTAAACTTGAAAAATAAACTTGAATTAAATCAGAATTTTTAAAATCAGAATTAAAAATCAGAATTTTAATTAAAAACTTGAAAAATAAACTTTAAATCAGAATTAATTTTAATCAGAATTTACAAAAATAAACTTTAATTAAAACCTGAATATAATCAGAATTTCTTCAAAACCAGAATTTCTGTTTAAAATAATTTTAATTAAAAATTCTGATTTTAAGTTTAAATAGAAATTCTGAAATAAAAATAAACTTAGCAGAATTTATTAAGCAAAAATCAAAATATTTATTGATTAAACTTTATTTTCTAGTTATAATTTTGAATTAACTGCAAATTGTTTATTAAATATTTCTGAAAGTTTTGATTCAAGATTGGATTTAATTTCTACAAAAGAACAATTGGAAGAGCAACAAAATTCAATTAATATAATTGTGCCCTCAAAAAATCCAAATTCCTTATAAAATAGTGAAGAAAACGTCAATAACGTGAGCTTTTCAACTTTAAGTGGCGGAACAAAGACTGGAGAAGGTTTTTTAATTTATTTAAAGTTCTTTAAATTATTTCTATTGGAAACTTAATTTTTTGCGAATTTTCGTTTGTTAAAAAATAATGGATCCTAAGCAGGTTCGAACCCACGACCCTCTTATTTTTAAGATAAGTCAAAGTTATTTTCTGCAAAAGCATCTATTAGGTAATAGAAATAGAAATTAACTAATAGAAATTACCAAGTTAAAGTCGGAAATACACTTTCTAATGCCTACACCGCAAGTAGTGGAGTTGCACAGGGTTCTATTCTTAGTCCCCTTTTATTTAACTTATACTTTTCGGATATAAATAAACTATGTTTTACAGAAAATGTCAAAATTAAGCTTTACGCAGATGATATTAAGGCATACCAAATTTACACTAAGAAAGACAATTTAAAATTGCAGTTATTTATTAATAAATTTCACGAATATTGTATCGCCAATGGTCTTAAATTAGCCATTAAAAAATGCCAGACACTTTATCTAGGTAACGGGAACCATAAAAATGAGTATTCTATTGATGGAATAACCATAGATACTAAAAATGAAGTCGTTAGAGATCTTGGTATTTTATTTTCACCTAGCCTTAAGTTCTCTGAACATATTGAATTTATCACAAACAAAGCCTCTAAGATTATGTATAATTTACTTAAAACACTTAAAACTAAAAATCCCAAAATACTCATACATATGTTTAATACTTATGTTAGACCCGGATTAGAGTTTGCTTCTCCTATTTGGAATCCATACTTACGAAAAGACATTATTAATATTGAAAGAATTCAAAAGAAATTCCTAGTATCAGTATTTATACGACTAAATTATACAAACAATCAAAAAATTAATTTTTCGGAGATTCCTAAATATGGCGAGTTACTCAAGAAATTTAATTTAGAAACCCTCGAATCTAGACGATTCAAAATCGATTTGATTTTATTTCAAAAAATTATCTTTGGTGAAATTAAAATTAATAACAATAATAGTATAATTCACTTTAAACAATCTAGGACACGTGGGGAAGAATACAAATTAACTATTCCGAATTGCTCATCCATGATCAGATATAATTCCTACTTTATTAGGACTTCTAGGCTTTATAATTCACTACCCATTGTAATTAGAAAAAAATACACCCTCTAATTTTAGAAAGATTATAATAAATTTTGATCTGTTAGGCCATTTACGATTAGCATTACCACACCTTATTACAAACCACTAGTTTCCACGGATTTTATATTTACTCTCAAATAAAACATTCCATTTAATTTATAAATTTTATTATTTCGAATTTTATATTTTTATTTTGTTGCATTGTTGTGAATTGTAATTTTATTTTTGACCTTCGCGTCATTTTGACGTAAATAAATAAATAAATAAATAAATAAAAGTTATTTTCTGCAAAAGCATCTATTAGGTAGATTTTAATTGGATTATCATTTCTTCAGAATTTCTAAAAATTCAAAACATTTAAAAATTAACAGAAAATTTAATTAAAAAAAATATTTTTTTTTAAATTTACAGGCCGGAACTCTTCGTCAGGAACAATTACGTTTAACCTACCAAAGTGACCGTTTAAATGCTTGGAATTGTCCAAATATTTGTTTTATAGATTTACATGGAATGAATTGGAAAAGGGCTGTTGAATTTGTTAAATATAAAATTTAAGAGAAGAAGGAATGGAAAATAAAATCAGAATTTTATTTTGTTTACAATTTTAAATTAAAAAATAGTAAATAAATATTTAAATCAATGTTCTAAGTATTTATCCCAACCTCTCCAGCAAGATTCTTAGTGACGGGTACTCTATAATAAAGGTGGTAGTATATTTAGGTGGTAGTATATTACAAAAATTACAAAAAATTCTAAAAATTACAAAAAATTATTCTAAAAATTACAAATATTTATTCTAAAAATTACAAAAAATAAATATAAAATTGTTAAGTTCCGAAATAATTATTCCCATAATAATTCACTAAAATTTCTGTATCAATGTATTTTTTATTCTAAAAATTACAAAAAATAAATATAAAATTGTTAAGTTCCGAAATAATTATTCCCATAATAATTCACTAAAATTTCTGTATCAATGTATTTTTTATTCTAAAAATTACAAAAAATAAATATAAAATTGTTAAGTTCCGAAATAATTATTCCCATAATAATTCACTAAAATTTCTGTATCAATGTATTTTTTATTCTAAAAATTACAAAAAATAAATATAAAATTGTTAAGTTCCGAAATAATTATTCCCATAATAATTCACTAAAATTTCTGTATCAATGTATTTTTTATTCTAAAAATTACAAAAAATAAATATAAAATTGTTAAGTACCGAAATAATTATTCCCATAATAATTCACTAAAATTTCTGTATTAATGTATTTTTTATTCTAAAAATTACAAAAAATAAATATAAAATTGTTAAGTACCGAAATAATTATTCCCATAATAATTCACTAAAATTTCTGTATCAAGGTATTTTTTATTCTAAAAATTACAAAAAATAAATATAAAATTGTTAAGTTCCGAAATAATTATTCCCATAATAATTCACTAAAATTTCTGTATCAATGTATTTTTTATTCTAAAAATTACAAAAATAAATATAAAATTGTTAAGTTCCGAAATAATTATTCCCATAATAATTCACTAAAATTTCTGTATCAATGTATTTTTTATTCTAAAAATTACAAAAAATAAATATAAAATTGTTAAGTTCCGAAATAATTATTCCCATAATAATTCACTAAAATTTCTGTATCAATGTATTTTTTATTCTAAAAATTACAAAAAATAAATATAAAATTGTTAAGTTCCGAAATAATTATTCCCATAATAATTCACTAAAATTTCTGTATCAATGTATTTTTTATTCTAAAAATTACAAAAAATAAATATAAAATTGTTAAGTTCCGAAATAATTATTCCCATAATAATTCACTAAAATTTCTGTATCAATGTATTTTTTATTCTAAAAATTACAAAAAATAAATATAAAATTGTTAAGTTCCGAAATAATTATTCCCATAATAATTCACTAAAATTTCTGTATCAATGTATTTTTTATTCTAAAAATTACAAAAAATAAATATAAAATTGTTAAGTTCCGAAATAATTATTCCCATAATAATTCACTAAAATTTCTGTATCAATGTATTTTTTATTCTAAAAATTACAAAAAATAAATATAAAATTGTTAAGTTCCGAAATAATTATTCCCATAATAATTCACTAAAATTTCTGTATCAATGTATTTTTTATTCTAAAAATTACAAAAAATAAATATAAAATTGTTAAGTTCCGAAATAATTATTCCCATAATAATTCACTAAAATTTCTGTATCAATGTATTTTTTATTCTAAAAATTACAAAAAATAAATATAAAATTGTTAAGTTCCGAAATAATTATTCCCATAATAATTCACTAAAATTTCTGTATCAATGTATTTTTTATTCTAAAAATTACAAAAAATAAATATAAAATTGTTAAGTTCCGAAATAATTATTCCCATAATAATTCACTAAAATTTCTGTATCAATGTATTTTTTATTCTAAAAATTACAAAAAATAAATATAAAATTGTTAAGTTCCGAAATAATTATTCCCATAATAATTCACTAAAATTTCTGTATCAATGTATTTTTTATTCTAAAAATTACAAAAAATAAATATAAAATTGTTAAGTTCCGAAATAATTATTCCCATAATAATTCACTAAAATTTCTGTATCAATGTATTTTTTATTCTAAAAATTACAAAAAATAAATATAAAATTGTTAAGTTCCGAAATAATTATTCCCATAATAATTCACTAAAATTTCTGTATCAATGTATTTTTTATTCTAAAAATTACAAAAAATAAATATAAAATTGTTAAGTTCCGAAATAATTATTCCCATAATAATTCACTAAAATTTCTGTATCAATGTATTTTTTATTCTAAAAATTACAAAAAATAAATATAAAATTGTTAAGTTCCGAAATAATTATTCCCATAATAATTCACTAAAATTTCTGTATCAATGTATTTTTTATTCTAAAAATTACAAAAAATAAATATAAAATTGTTAAGTTCCGAAATAATTATTCCCATAATAATTCACTAAAATTTCTGTATCAATGTATTTTTTATTCTAAAAATTACAAAAAATAAATATAAAATTGTTAAGTTCCGAAATAATTATTCCCATAATAATTCACTAAAATTTCTGTATCAATGTATTTTTTATTCTAAAAATTACAAAAAATAAATATAAAATTGTTAAGTTCCGAAATAATTATTCCCATAATAATTCACTAAAATTTCTGTATCAATGTATTTTTTATTCTAAAAATTACAAAAAATAAATATAAAATTGTTAAGTTCCGAAATAATTATTCCCATAATAATTCACTAAAATTTCTGTATCAATGTATTTTTTATTCTAAAAATTACAAAAAATAAATATAAAATTGTTAAGTTCCGAAATAATTATTCCCATAATAATTCACTAAAATTTCTGTATCAATGTATTTTTTATTCTAAAAATTACAAAAAATAAATATAAAATTGTTAAGTTCCGAAATAATTATTCCCATAATAATTCACTAAAATTTCTGTATCAATGTATTTTTTATTCTAAAAATTACAAAAAATAAATATAAAATTGTTAAGTTCCGAAATAATTATTCCCATAATAATTCACTAAAATTTCTGTATCAATGTATTTTTTATTCTAAAAATTACAAAAAATAAATATAAAATTGTTAAGTTCCGAAATAATTATTCCCATAATAATTCACTAAAATTTCTGTATCAATGTATTTTTTATTCTAAAAATTACAAAAAATAAATATAAAATTGTTAAGTTCCGAAATAATTATTCCCATAATAATTCACTAAAATTTCTGTATCAATGTATTTTTTATTCTAAAAATTACAAAAAATAAATATAAAATTGTTAAGTTCCGAAATAATTATTCCCATAATAATTCACTAAAATTTCTGTATCAATGTATTTTTTATTCTAAAAATTACAAAAAATAAATATAAAATTGTTAAGTTCCGAAATAATTATTCCCATAATAATTCACTAAAATTTCTGTATCAATGTATTTTTTATTCTAAAAATTACAAAAAATAAATATAAAATTGTTAAGTTCCGAAATAATTATTCCCATAATAATTCACTAAAATTTCTGTATCAATGTATTTTTTATTCTAAAAATTACAAAAAATAAATATAAAATTGTTAAGTTCCGAAATAATTATTCCCATAATAATTCACTAAAATTTCTGTATCAATGTATTTTTTATTCTAAAAATTACAAAAAATAAATATAAAATTGTTAAGTTCCGAAATAATTATTCCCATAATAATTCACTAAAATTTCTGTATCAATGTATTTTTTATTCTAAAAATTACAAAAAATAAATATAAAATTGTTAAGTTCCGAAATAATTATTCCCATAATAATTCACTAAAATTTCTGTATCAATGTATTTTTTATTCTAAAAATTACAAAAAATAAATATAAAATTGTTAAGTTCCGAAATAATTATTCCCATAATAATTCACTAAAATTTCTGTATCAATGTATTTTTTATTCTAAAAATTACAAAAAATAAATATAAAATTGTTAAGTTCCGAAATAATTATTCCCATAATAATTCACTAAAATTTCTGTATCAATGTATTTTTTATTCTAAAAATTACAAAAAATAAATATAAAATTGTTAAGTTCCGAAATAATTATTCCCATAATAATTCACTAAAATTTCTGTATCAATGTATTTTTTATTCTAAAAATTACAAAAAATAAATATAAAATTGTTAAGTTCCGAAATAATTATTCCCATAATAATTCACTAAAATTTCTGTATC